CCCCAAAACCCCAAAACCCCAAAACCCCAAAACCCCAAGGCAATGCTGAATAGTATTTATTGCAACAAATTATATTTGGTCCTGAGAAGACTGTCAACCTCTTGTTGAGCCATATTGATATCTGTGTTCTTAGGAAGGATATCAGCTATTTTATTTCCTTTTTCTATCTTTCTTCTTACTTTGTCATTATATTGATAATTCTTCGGATTTGGACAGAATGAGTAATCTATTCGATTTGGATCTCCAAGAGTAGAGAAGTGACCTTCTCTTTGGTTGTCAACTCAACGAAGGATGACTCCTGCTTTGGGAAGTAGAGAAATTGGGGCTACCTTTAATCGTTGCTGAGACTCTAGATGTTCCCATCAGTCTTTGACACTGACCAAATCTTTGACGACATCGTTTCTAACCTTTCCTTGGAAGAGGGGCATCATGTGGTATCCAGATCTAATAAATACTTCATCTGTATCCTTATTTTCATCTGTATCTAATTTAGAAAAGATAGGATAGATTGTCCAGGCGTAATCTATAATCTCTGCTTCCTTCTTTTTATGGATTTTAATAGCTTTAATATCAACGATCATATGCACATTCTCGTTTGATGGGACATTGACAAAGGCGTAGAAGGACTCATGGAACTTTTGACCCTTAACATGACTGTTGAAGTCAATCTCATTGAACTCTATAACCTTGTCGTAACCTATTGGTTGTTGATAGAGGCTTCCAGGTGGGTTTATACAGCAAATAGCGACATATATCATACGAGGATCAGCGTTGAACACCAAATCAATGTTGAATCTGAACCCAATACTATGTATATACTGTGAGAAGTAATTAATGTCAATGATTTCTGTAGTATATTTTTCAGGAGGCTCGAAAACATGCTCTGAGAACTCATCATGCGTAAGAGCTGAGACATTTTTCTTCTTAAGGATCTTCTTAATTTTCTTTTTAAACTTCTTATCATTTTCATAAGTATTCCTAAGCGGCTTGATAGCCTCGGTTACAAGGGGATCAACTCTTATGACCTTTTCTTCGTAGATTTTTAATTCGTCTTTCATCAAGTCAATGTAACGGTTGTTGTACTCACCTTGCTGGTATTTTGGAGGTAACTTGAGCATGCCTAGCTCAACTCTTCTGGCTTCAGAAAGACCAGCAATGGAAATAGACTTGCCTTTATCATCTGTAGGTGCTTTCTCAATTCTGATGAGTAACGAAGCTCATGGGATTCTCTCAAGAGCAGTTACATTTTGGTAACTGAAAGGCCTTGCTAGCCTTGGAGTCTGACAGAAAATAGGAATTTGGTATTTACCAGTCTGTAGAGCAGCATCTGAAGTAGGGTGGTTGGCTGGTAATCCAGTACTGGGATCCACAAAGAGAGGGAAAAAGGCATATCCTACGACAACTTGTTTGTGATTATTTCTCTCAATGCTATCAATTCTGAAAACAAGAACTGTGGTATCATCTAGACTTGGAGTATCCTTGCGGATAAACTCTTCCCTGATGCCAAAGTATGGCTTTTGAGAGGTTGACATCTCAGATAGTCAAACAGATGAGAATGTTTTCATAATATTTTCTGCATCGCGGTTGATCCCTCTCATTACTAGCCTGGCAATGGTGCAGTTTTCTGGTAAATAGCGTGCAGAGTCGACATACACTACAATGATCTCGTCTCGATCATAGGGACTTTCATCGTATTGTTTGAGAGTATTTGGAATAAATGCCTCCTCTGATGAATCTTTCTTTCCAAGATCAGAAGGGGCTATTTCACCTTTCTTTTCTTCTTCTTGGGGAGTTGGAACTTTCTGCTCTTCTTTTGGAGGTTGCACAGAAGGAGGTTGGGCATCAGGTATTTTCATCTCAGGACTTTGTGGATGAGGTTGAGCTACATCAGGTTTTGGTTCATTTATGGTCAAAGCAAGACTATAACCTAATGGCTCACTTTTAGAAACATCTTTGTAATCCTTCAACGGGTATTTATACACAGGAAGCTCATGAGATCCAACTCTGGCAGTTCCATCTTCGTTATTGACTTTCAAGACAGTCACACCAGTTGGATACGAGCTGCCATTCTCTAAAATTTCTAGGAAGAGATAAAGGTCATGCTCAAGGTTTGAGTTCCAGACTAGATCATAGAAATTCCTGTGCCAAATATTTGTTTTCATTATAGGCAGTACAGTATCGTTTCGGTCAAGGTTCTCCACTTTAGTGACTTCTTGGATCTTGAACATATTCTGGGGTGTTTGTTCTAAATTGGCAGTAAATTGGACTGAGTCAGATACCCAGTAGCAGTCTTGTCCGAATTTATCCTTTGCAGCATTTTCATTGAACAGCAAACTACTTCTCACTGTGAAGTTACCAGCTTTGTTCGTTGGGAAATTTTTGAGAAATTGAAGGAACAGAAGTAGCCCATTACTAGAGTAGAAGGGGTCCTTGCCCTGCTTATCAGGCTCAATTTGAATGTTTTGAGGTTGGTTCTGCATTTGAGGAGGGATATCATTTCTTTTTGTGCCTCCTCTTTGATGTATCATTGGAACCAGATATTCTGATGGATGTAGATTCGAATTTTTCTGACTGATTTCATCACCTATCATAGAAATTCTCATGCATACATATCCACTGATAGGGGTGAGGTAAGGAATTTCAGAGATTTGAAGATAAGGGTTTGTTGGAAGCTGATACATAGGGAGCTTGAATCACCCCTTGTTTAGTTTCCCTAGCTTAGCAGTGAACAAATTTACCAAAGTCCAACCTATTGCTTTGAATCTATTTGGATCTCTGATATCAGGAATCTGTATCTCCATAATCAAATTGGTACTCCTATCAGCTTCTACAAGCTTTAATGAATTTTGGGTAGAAAACTGCGCTTTCTCATGAGTAATTGAATAAGTATCAGGAAGCATCAAAGCAGGACCCATGCTTTGGTTACCAATAATCATTTCATCATTTTTGAAAATAGCATAAGCCGCTTTCATTTGATTGCAGGTGCCTCTATCAATATTGGCTACATAATCCAAGTGTAGCCCGAAGCCAATCTCAGGATCATACTCTTCTTCAATTCTCTGAGGTCTAGTAGAAACTCTTGACTTCCCTGAAGTAGAGGGGATATACTCAGGTGTCTTTGGCATATTCAGTCTTTCTTGAAGCCTTCTGGAGATAAGCTGTTTCTCTTGTTGATCCATCCAATTTTCAAGTTCCATCTTTCTCTCTTCTTCATATCTTTCTTTACCGAAGTGTTCACGGATTCTATGAGAGATTAGGCTCTAATCTTACTTCTTAAGTCTCTGATCTTGCAAGAACTTCTCAGCCTGGATCCTTGCATGACTAAGTTCTTTGTACTGGTTCAGTTTGTGGCTGTAGAGTGTAGGGTTATCCTTTAACATATCAAGAACTTTCAGGTCATCAAAATCTTGGGCATACATGTTCATGATCGCTCTTTCTTCAACTTCGAGGTCTTCTGGGCGATCCAAATTTTGTTTAAAGTGCCCAACATCTGGTAAGAAGGTTCTTGAGTCAGGGATCAGATTTTGTCTCGATTTCCTTTCTGAGTCCTGCTGTTGGCTTCTTCTAGACATCCTTGATGATTGCTATAATAAAGGTCAAGATCTGTTTAATTATTGATGCTTACCTGACGATAGTTCATTATAACAGGCTGTTTCATTTTGGGCTCCTTCAGCTCAGTTCTATTCTTCATCTCTATCACAGAGTAGTTAGGATTCCTTGCTTGGAAATTAGGAAGTTTTTGATGCATGTTATCATTGACTCTTTTACGTTCTTCATCTTCTTCTCTCCTCTTCTCATTTTTAATAATTTTATCAAGCTTGTTCATCTGCCTGAATAGAACAGGTTTCGCAGCTTGGTAGTTTATAAATGGAGCAGAGGCATTAGGATCAAAGTTAGAAATCTTAGATCTGATGTTGCTAAGCCTTTGTGCCTTCTCCTCAGGCTTCATTTCTCTCTGGCTTTGAAGATCTGTGGAGTAATTTTTCATATTTTCCCGATATTTATTAATATCGGTATTATAACCTTGGTCTACCGAGGCTTGTAACTGATCTATCTCATCAAACACTGGATCGTATTTAAGCTGGTTCATTGTTTTCTTACGATCTTCTATTAGTTTCGAGATCCTCTCTTGACTCTGATTTATCTTCGCTCCAGCGTAGTACTCCGAGGAAGAATTTAGTATCTTGGCAGCAGAGTTAGCTAGCTTAGAATCCTTTGAAGGCTCATTGCTTCTTCCTCGGGGAGCAGAATTTTGGTATGCAAGGATGCCAGCCTTTTGTTGGTAGTGGTCCATCTTTTGACCAAGAATTTCTTGTTTAAGTTTTATCCGAGAATTTTCTTCAGCAAGGTTATTTTAAAGCATTCGTATGTCTTCTGTCCTGATTCCTTAGATAATCTGAATTGTTCACTTTGTTTTGAACTTGTTTAATAGGAGTATTATTGCCTGCATGTCGGACATCTAAAAGGGAATAAACCAGTTGAGAACGTACCATGACTCATATTTTGGAGATCTCTTTGGACTTGAAGTTTACTTTCTTCAATCTCTCTTTTCTTTTTGTCAAGCTCATCTAGCTCTTTTAATTTATCTTGCTTGAGGTACCCTGCCTTCTCCTTCTGTATCTCTTTAAGTGCTCTTTCGATTGAGAGAACTTCAGCTTGGTTGTTAATCTTTTTACCCTCAAACATCTTTGCTTCTCTAACTAACTTTTCAACATCTTGTTTATTCTGAAGACTTATAGCATCTGCTATCTTCTTATTTATGCTCAATCTTAGACTCATTATTCACCTTGGCTGGATCAGCTGCGGGCTTTATATCCGATAACTTCTTGAGCCTGTCATCAAGTTTACTCATGTTACTATATTGCTTGCAGAATTTCTTTTGGTGATTGGCTAGTTCACCTCCTGTTTCAAACCTCATTTTGCAGTCAACGCATTCCACCTTCTTTTGGCCTTCTGACATTTCTATTTAAATTATTATCAATATTAATAAATTTATTGGGGTTTTGGGGTTTTGGGGTTTTGGGG